TTGATACTTCATAATATTTTTTACTCGTTTCATTTAACTTTAAAGGACGTTTATTTGTCCGCTAGGTATCTCTTCTCTCGATGCTTCTAGAGCTCCCTGTGACACCTAGCGACAAAAAAATCGTCGTTTAAAGTACATCGTATTGGAACAAGTAAAAATATTATGAAATATCAACAATATATGAATGCGTCAAAAAATTATCGATGAATATTGGTTATACTATGATTTTTTAAATCAAATTTATTTTTTTACGATATTATGATGGAAAAATTGAATATTGGTCAGCTTAGAAAAAAATGCAATATTTTACAGCATTGAAAAAATTGCAATATTGTTCAGCATTGAAAAAAAATGTATTTTCTTCTTAAGAATAGAATTTTTAGAATCCACGAAACCAATATCTTTAGTGCAAGCAAAACAAGACATAAATATTCACTTTTAATTAATAAATAGATAGATATATCTTCTTATTTTAAACAAGGCATATACAGAACTAAATTTAGGGGAGCCCAAATAGGAGCTCCCAGGGGGGTGGGGGGCAAAATTTGAACATTAAATTCAAAACATTTGGCTTCTTGGATACCAGGAATGAGATACTTTAAAGGTACATATGCCATACAGTACAATAACCTTGCATGTACTATACTTTATCTCTCCTTCAAGCAAAACTAGCAGAAAAAAAGCTAAAAAAAAATATTTTTTTTATGTTCTTCACTCTTCAGTTTCAGATTTGAAAAGTGTGATAGATCGGAGTTCTAGGGGAAGGCACTGCCCCCTTACCCCCCCCCCCCCGTATACACCATTGTAAATAGATGTGTTTTATAAGTTTATTTTTTATTTATTTACAAAAACGTTTAAATAATGTACGTTTTTAAAGCGGTAAGAAAAATTTAAAATACGTTCATATTTAGGAGACATTCCATAGACATTTAAAATTTCTCAAAACAATTAAATTCTATAAATGTAGAAATAACGAAAAAAATAAATGCGAAGTTTTATTTGTAACTTGTACTTTGTCGACTGGGAGATTGTNCCTTAATTTATAGGGAGAGGGTAATGAAAGGGTAATTATAGAATTATATCCAGTTAGATCCAGATTATTAAAAAAATGACAGGAATTTAATGAGGCAGAAATAATTCCCACGATTTTAAACAGAGAAGATTATTTCATAAAAATTAAAAAACAGATTTTAGATTTCTGATATTTTGATTCTAAATTTTTATCTCAAAAAGATTGGCAGCATTATTTGAAGTCATCCTTTCCTAAAAATATTTGATGATAAACGATATATACATGCACGTGATTGAGATATGCCTAGGAGGGTTACACAAAAAGGATTAGACTGTAAAGACGACCTAAAACTCCATGGTTAAATTAAGTCCTCTGGGAGTAATCAATGTTTTTATATGGCAATCGCTTGAGTACAAGTGTAACATCAAAAAGCATGAGACCATATGGGACTAGCTTTAGAACCCAGCGTTGCCCAAGGTACTCTATAGTTACTCCAACCGTCTACCTGCGCTTGGTCGTAATTTACCAATTTAGCTATTTCTCCACGCACTAAACTTAGAATCTCAAAACTAAAGGTAAGAATATTCCCGTGGTTCTCCCGAGTTCCCCAATCAAAATTTGAGGCAAATAGGTCATGGTATTTATGAGTTAGGAACGGAAATACATACAGACAAAGAGAGATTACTACTTAATAATTATATATAGAATATGATCGGTGCCTTCTTATAAGTTAGCGCCCCGAGCTAATCTAAATGAGGCAGAAACCACAGATTGCAAACGTTGCATGGCAAAAAAAGAGAAAAAGTTAAGATAGAGAGATATCCCAACTAAAGGATTTCATAAACACAAGCTGTGAAACTTTAATCATCATATTGCATTGGAAACATATTATTCCCATTTTAGAGTTTTTATATATGTTATTTGATTTTGATTCTATAAAGAAAAATGTTTATGATAGACTTTATAGAACCCTAAATTTTGTCTATTAAAGGGAGTGTTCACGAAAAATGAAAGGGGGTATAGGCTTAATGCGATAAAAAGCGCGTTTGATCGCTACTAATCTTACTTCTATCTGTTGCGTCTATAAGGAGAAAATTGTTAAAAACGACTAATACCGAAAAACGTAGTGTCCATACAAATTCAGAAAGATGCAACATTCAAAATCTTTCGACATCGATTATTTTTCGACGCATTCGAATATAGTTAATGTTTCATAATATTTGTTATTTGTTTATATGCAATGCACTTAAAATGACGTTTTTTCCGCTAGGTGTCTCTGTCACGTGAAATAATTCAAAGCATCAAGAGCAGAGACACCTGGCGGCCAACTATTTCGGCGTTTTAAGTGCATAACAAATAAAAAATATCATGAAATATTAAAATCTTAAAAATAAAGCATTGCATGCCTGATTCACACAGATAGCATTAAGTCCTTTAATTCATTGGGTGAATGATGAGGAAGATAACATTGTTTCTCGACTGCCAGAAATAAATTATCTTAATTTTCCTCCTTGTCTCTTCTGCACAAACTTGCAAGTAACTTGGTTGAGAACCATAGTTTAAAATTATTGATTTTCAGACAGAAAAACCAAGACTACTTCATCATTCTTGTTCCAATAAAGTTTTTGCAGGGAACCATCGTAAATCGAACATGTATCTTTATGAATAGAAAAGGGAACCATTGTGAATCGAACATGTAACTTTGTGAATCAAAAAGGGAACCATTGTGAATAGAACATGTATCTTTATGAATAGAAAAGGGAGACATTGTGAATAGAACATGTATCTTTGTGAATAGAAAAGGGAAACATTGTGAATAGAACATGTATCTTTGTGAATAGAAAAGGGAACCATTGTGAATAGAACATTTATCTTTGTGAATAGAAAAGGGAGACATTGTGAATAGAACATGTATCTTTGTGAATAGAAAAGGGAAACATTGTGAATAGAACATTTATCTTTGTGCATCAAAAAGGGAACCATTGTGAATATAACATTTATCTTTGTGCATCAAAAAGGGAACCATTGTGAGTAGAACATTTATCTTTGTGAATCAAAAAGGGAACCATTGTGAATAGAACATTTATCTTTGTGAATCAAAAAGGGAACCATTGTGAATAGAACATTTATCTTTGTGCATCAAAAAGGGAACCATTGTGAATAGAACATTTATCTTTGTGAATCAAAAAGGGAACCATTGTGAATCGAACATGTAACTTTGTAAATCGAAAAAGAACCATTGTGAATAGAACATTTATCTTTGTGAATAGATAAGGGAACCATTGTGAATGGAACATGTAACTTTGTGAATAAAGAGTCACTTAAAGTTACGTGGACAGTCTCTTTATTTAAACTGAAATACTATTTTATTTGCTCAGGTTCAGGATTGTTCAATAAAAAGTTTTAACAATGATACATCTTATTATTTTTGGTTAAACTTATAGAACAGGTTTATCTCAACTCCGCAATGGATTTTTACAATTGAGTTTTAATAATCAGGTTTAGTTTTTGAATTAGTACCCTTGGAATCATAACACATGGAGTGGAGCTGTTTTGAATACAACACGATTAACTCTAATTTGCCTGACGTCTGGTTTACTGACTGGCTGCCTCTATTTTCTTATTGTGATACAAATCTATAACATTTGATACGTTTTTTGAAAGCCCTTGAACTCTACCACAAAAATCTTTTTTTTTATATGGCAATTTTTCAAAAATCCAAATATTGATTGCGAAATCTAGTTATTACGCAAAAAATGTGCAAACAAAATTGTGCAAATTGCAACAAATTTTTGAAAAGCCCTTGATTCAGCATATTCAATATGCAAAAACATTTGCAAAATTTTAAAACCTAAATGTGTATTTAAGAAAAACTGAAAATGTGCAAATTACTTTTAAAGTCGTCTGTGCAAAAATCTGTGAAAAATTTAGTTGCAAAATTGTGCAATCTGCTAGCTTTTTTAAAGTCTTTCCAAAGAGCTATAATATTTTGATATACAATAACTGGAAGTAGGTCTAAATATAGATTTAGTCTGGTCTACGTAAAATAATGCATTAAGACGGTATTCCTGAGGACTCAGGCAGCAAGTATAAAAGACCAGCTTTCAGCCTTAAGTGAGGGGCATGTGTTAGTTAGAAAAGCCAGAAAATTTGAGCTTCTTAGCCCAAAAACTTTTTAAGTTATCGCAAAAGAACGATAGGGGGGAGTGGTCAATTTGTCCCCCCCCCAGTCAAAATAGGGTTAAACCAAAGTTTTTGTTTTTGAATTAAACTTAAAACGGATTTATCCAAAATATAAGAAAATTTTAGTGACCTTCCGTTCCATTTTAAGAAATACAAGCACGATTTTTTAACAGTAACCTTAAAACAATTTAAATAAGTTAGATAATTACTAAGGGAAATGGTGGAATTGTTCAGAAACAATTATTTTGAGTTTTTTTTATTAAATAACACAACCTAATCTAACCTGGGATAGTATAATCACGCGAGGTTGCTACGAAACTTAGAGTTTGAAGCGAGTGTTGTAAAACAATATGTAAAAGTTTTTTTTTAAATATTGGATTCGGATATATATAGGGTCATAGTGAACTTCTGAATCATTTCAACTACACTGCTGAATACAAAGAAAAGGAAATGAGTGTTCTCGGTGTAAGGAATGTATGATAAGAAAACGAAATATATATATATATATATATATCTATTACATTTCTGTATATAATTTGGCTTGTTTGTTTGTTTGTTTGTACATTTGTTAGATGCTTCATATTTGAATTGCTTGATTTTGAGATTAAGATTAAGATTAAGATTTTAATGTTTCGATTCAGTTCTTCAAGACATAATTTTGATACCCACGAAAAAAGTTTTTAGTAACTAATTTTGTTTGTAATAAGGAAAGTTTAGGACCAGTGCAGATATGAACATTTTATATAAAAAATGGCAAATGGTCCCATACTTCATAAAATATTAAATGTATTTCCTTTTCAGAAAAAGAAAAATGTAAAAAGATGATGAAAAATATAATATTTGTTCTTTTTTCTACTCTTCACATACATCAGACAACATCCTTCACACTACAGGTTTAATAGATAATATCATACAGATTACAGGTTTAATAGACAATTTCAGGTTTAATAGACATTATCATTCAGATTACAGGTTTAATAGACAATATCCTCTAGAGTACAGGTTTAATAGACAATTTCAGGTTTAATAGACAATATCATTCAGATTACAGGTTTAATAGCCAATATCCTCTAGAGTTCAGGTTTAATAGACAATTTCAGGTTTGATAGACAATACCATTCAGATTACAGGTTTAATAGACACTATCATTAAGATTACAGGTTTAATAGACAATATACTTAAAATTATTGGTTTAATAAACAATATTCTTTAGATTACAGGTTCAATAGACAACATCCTACAGATTACAGGTTTAATAGACAATATCATTCAGATTACAGGCTTAATAGACAATATTCTTCAGAATGCAGGTTTAATAGACAATGTCCCTCAGATAATAGATTTAATAGACAATATCCTTTAGACTACAGGTTTAATAGACAATATTCTTCAGATTACTGGTTTAATAGACAATATACTTCAAATTATTGGTTTAATAGACAATATTTTTCAAATTAGATCTTTAAGGATTTATGAATGTTTAAAACCATTTTAGCATAAATAAAACAAGAGTTTCTTGTTTAGATAAAAAAGTTTGAATTTCCTGCCCTCCCAGAAATGCAGATGAATTTCATACCTAAACCTGCCAAGCTTCAACAGGTATTGTCCGCCAATGTAAAATGGTGGATTATCTTTTTTTGAACATTGAATTTTACTTCAATAAGTCCCAATAAACATAATATCTTTTTGATCCGTGTAAATTTCAGGTCGCCATCTTGAGATTAGATTAATTTGTCTGATGATAAATCTAAATATATTTTATTTGATAAGAAGTTCATATCTGCAAAATGAAAAATAAAATACAAAATCAATCTTGGGTTATTATTTACAATTGGTAGTCACACTCAGAGCATAAAAAAATAGTTAAAGAAATAAAAAAATTATGTCTTTTTAGATGGAGAAATTCACCGTTCCCGAGGTTCATCTCGAAGGAATGCAGATCCACCCGAGCTAAAGTTTCTTGGGGTTCATCCTTTCCTGTCCTATAGAGCTCCGTCCGTTCTTCTAGAGATCCTAGAACTTCGTCCTACCCTGAGTCTAAAACTAAAGAACGAAAAGTTCTGACTTAAATTTTAAGTTCATGGTTAAATGCCACTTCTGACTTAATTTAAACCTGAACGTTAACCCTGTGGTTAAATATTTAACTCGCCGAAATCGACGAGTTAAAATTTAAACAAGGGTTAAAATCTTGAAATCCTGCATTTTCCCTATTTGTCTATTATTCAATCATCATTCAGCTGAGAAAGCGGCATTCAAATTACGACATATTTAAAAGTGAAAACCTTGTTAAAGAAATTTCACGTTTTAGATTAATTAATTTTTGCATGTAAACCCAAAAAACGGTTGTATGTTTTGCTTTCGGTTACGTAATAACAGCTGATTAGCGATGGTTATGTAATATATTCTCCGTAAATCCTTTTCTCTGATTGGTTCAGATTTTCCCGGGAAATTCAAATTTAAAATTGAGAAAGTTTAATATTTAAGTAGCTATTCATTATTTTACAGAACTTTTAACCTCGAACTTAAAATTTGCGCATTCTTTAGTTTTAGACTCTGTATCTTATTTAGAACTCCGTCCTGCACACTTCCACAGATCCTAGAAACCTTTCCTGTACCCTTCTAGAAAACCTGGATTCCCTTACTGTACTCGTCAAGAGATCCATCCTAACCTCTCCTATCTAGAGATTATAGAATCCTAACCTGTACCCTTCAAGAGATCCGTCACTTTCTTTGATCTTTAGAGATTTTAGAGATCTGTCCTGCATCCTACAAGAGATCCGTCCTATCTAATCCTACCTAGAGATCCGTCCTATCTAATCCTACCTAGAGATCCGTCCTATCTAAACCTACCCAGAGATCCGTCCTATCTAATCCTACCTAGAGATCCGTCATTTCTAATCCAACCCAGAGATCTATACTATCCAATATCCTTCCTATTAATCCGTCCTGTAATGTAAAATTCTACTCAGAGATCCATCATTTCTAAACCTACAAAGAGATCCGTCCTATCTAAACCTACCCAGAGATCCGTCCTATCTAAACCTACACAGAAATCCGTCCTATCTAAACCTACACAGAGATCCGTCCTATCTAAACCTACACAGAGATCCGTCCTATCTAAATCTACCCAGAGATCCGTCCTATCTAAATCTACCTAATAGAGATCTCTACTATCCAATTCTACCCAGAGATCCGTCCTATCTAAACCTACCTAGAGATCCGTCCTATCTAATCCTACCCAAAGATCCGTCTATCTAATCTTACCCAAAGACCCGTCCACTCCATTCCTTTCAAACGTTTCGTCCTATCCAATCCTACCCAGAGATAGCTATTTTCTAATCCTTTCCATGGAGTTGTCCTCTTCAATCCTACCAGAGAACCGTCCTATCCAATCCTACCCAGAGATAGATCTTTTCTAATCCTATCCAGGGAGTTGTCCTCTTCAATCCTACCAGAGAACCGTCCTATCCAATCCTACTAAGAGATAGCTCTTTTCTAATCCTATCCAGGGAGTTGTCCTCTTCAATCCTACCAGAGAACCGTCCTATCACATCCTACTAAGAGATTTTTCCTATCCAATCCTACCCAGAGATTGGTCCAATCTATGATCCTGCGTATAGAAATCCATCCTCCCGAATTGGCGCTAAAGTCAATCCTTCTCAATAATTTCTAGAGGTCCGTCCTATTGTTTCATTTTCCTACAGACGCAACCCAGAATCCTTTTCCCTGTCCAACCTATATAATGTCAACTGTAAAAATGTGGAATAGGAAGACAACTGCGAGACTTTTAAGCTATGATTTAAGATCGTCCTATCAACGCAAGTGGATTTGACTTGAGCGCAATTGCGAGCACTGTAAACTCGCGCGCGCGCGCAATTCCTCGCAACGGAATTCTGATAGGAAACCCTACATTAAACACAAAAATTGTGCGTTGAACACATACCTGTTTTTGCGTAAAAAGTAAATTTTTTATCTAATGGTATTTTTTTGCTTTAAAAACATCAAACGTATAACTTGATATTGTCGGCTTCCTATTCCACAGTTTTATGGGTCCCACTGTTCCTTTACTATATTCTACTTCAGGTTCTGTACTGTCCTAAACAAAATTAGCTTGCCTGTATAAAAACTTTGTAATAATTGGTGTAATGGTTTATATAAGAAAATAAGATTTGGACAATTAAAATATGGTTATTTCAATTTATTGTTCTTAAAATCAAAGCTAAACCTTACTTCACTCAATTTAAGTACACTCTTTTAAACTAATTTGTAACTCACTAAAACTATAGGTTTCCAGGTATACCCTGCATTCTTTTTCTCATGATTTTTCTAGAGATACAGAGTTACTCTTAATGGATAACGCTATCATCTAACCATATCTCCATAAATCAATTAATTCGATATCTTACATCATTTAGAATATGTAACCTGGTATTAAAGGGACTGTAAAGTAAAAAAGGAATTGATTAAGTGGCATGTCTGATTCACCCGTAATATTAAAGGCTTTGATTGATTAAGTATGAATCAGATATCCATGTTTTTGTTTTTAAAAACTGATTATTTCCATTTGTAGTTTCTCTGGAAAAGTGACTTGGAAAAGGGAGAAATTAGCAGAATAATAAAATGTTCAAGCTAAATCAAGTACTTTTTCTTCTTCATTATTAATCAGATTAAGAATTAAGGGGTACGGTTGTGAATTAGACATACCCCTCTTTCTAATCTAGGTTCACTTGACATTATGCTTTTATCATCTTTTATACATATTTATATACACGTATACACGTAGTCAGTGCTATGGTGTCAATGAATCTTAGTATCCTGGTATCTACAGTAATTAAGTATTCTTGTATGCACATTGCATATCCAAGAATTCTGATATCCACTAGTCCACACATGTATTTTTTATTCTGGTATCCATATCCAAGAACCTTGATATTCACTTATACAATTATCTATTTTGAATCCTGAGATCCACTTATACAAATATCTATTTTGAATCCTGGTATCCATAGATCCTGTGGTGTTGAGATCGGCATCGTTTTTGTAAACGAGCGAAATTTTTAAAAACGATCAAAGTTTTTCGTGATCGATAATGTCAATCAGAAAAAAACGAATGATGAAAAAACGATCTGGATCGTCCAGAGAAATATATAAACAGGATAGTTTTTTAAAGAACGAAGAAAAACAAAAAACGAAAGATTTAAAATCGGTCAAACGAGCTTGAAAAAAGCGATCGATTTTTTTTACTGAACGAACAATTTTACTGAACGAACAATTTTACTGAACGAACAATTTTACTGAACGAACAATTTTATTGAACGAATTACTTTAAATTAACAAACAATTTTACTGAACATTTAGTGAGAAAACAGACAAAACCATTTTTATGAACGATTAAAAAACCCGAACGAAATGGGGGTTTCCCGTACGAACGCGCCCATCTTTATCCCCTGGTATCCTGTATCCTGATGTTCGATGGTGGATATGCTTTTGTAGAGATGGTTCGAGGACCTGACAATAATATACTCGAACTCTTCCTAGAGCTTAACTTCGATTACTCAGACCTGGTAAGACTAAGTGACTCAAAGCGTCCGAATTTCTTTTGATAAATATTATTAATGTTATTTCAAGTAATGCTCTGTGCGTCAATATTTTCATGATTAATATCGTTAATGTTATTTATATATCAATACAATGCTCTGTTAAGGATTTAATATCGTAAATGCTATTTTATCGTTAATGTTATGTAAATCAAGACAATGCTCTGTGCGTCAATATCTTCATAAGTAATCTTATTAATGTCATTTATATCAAGACACTTTTTCATAAATAATCTTATCGATTTATGTAGATGCTATTTCTATCAACACAATGCAACTAATGCTTGAAGCTTTACGACAGATCTTATCGACATTATTTCCAAGAGGCAATGCAAGTCATCAACGAACTGTACGCCGTGTAATTTTTAAGTGACTCTCCATGCACATATGCATGGCAATGCAAGTCCTCAGCGAACTGTAGGCCTTGTAATTTTTAAGTGACTCTCCATGCACATATGCATGGCAATGGCCAATTTACAGCAAAACCGGCGCGGCCCTTCAAACCTTCATCTCTGATCAATTATATGGAAGATATGTCTGGTTTTTCTAGGCGTTTTCCTACTTAAAAAATCACAATCGAAAACATAACTTTTCGAAATTATGAACATTGATATCTAATTTATAATTGATCAGACAACGCTTTTAAGGGTACCGTTGTAAATTGGGAACATGCCATCTTTACATTGAGACTTGACATTCACTTAGTCACATAGAATTATAAAATGTTCGCTGAGTTTAATTTTATCAAGATGTAAAAATACGTTGAAAACACTTCTTTAATACGATAGGTTTCTGTAAAAATAGAAATCAAAAATGTTCTTTTCGTTTCTAGTTTCTAGTTTTTACAAGAACACTATTATCATTTTTAAATCAGTTTACAGACAAAAAAAAACATCTTTCTAATTGTTCCCCTTCCCTACCAAAAAGAATAAACAAGAGGTAGTTAATAGAAAGGGGGGGGGGCAGCCCCTTACTGAAAAGTCTAGTGATCACCCTGGAAAAATTTGGGATAAGGGAGGGCCCGCTTCTATGATCCTTTGATTATATTTATAAAAATGGATTCAACCATTTCTGATCCATATTCAAATAAACTTTAGTTAATTTCTTTTACGGAGAACTGGAAATGAACCCCGGGGATATTTTTCGCGTTCTATTCTTTAATTATCCCCCAGGAAAATTTCTTTCTTAGTAAAACAATTTAAATAAATTCGGCTTTTAGAGCGCTTCGCGTCCCCTTTCCTGTAAATAATTTTAGCTTTTATCTGTTCGGACATTTTACCCGGTTTTTTGTTGTTAAAAATTTGATATTCCATACACCTTCCCTGGAGTCAAGTAAAATGTAAGGTTTCACACAAAATTTGGGCCCGATCGGTTTAGCAGTTTATAGGATACAAGCGGATGTTACAAACAGACAGACAGACAAGCAAAGTAAATATTTTAGATGGAAATAACTTGTTTTAGGTTCCGCCGGTAAAATCATTGTATTTCCGTGTCCCTATGGTAATGGATAAATACTCCAGAACTCCTTGATTTTAGGTAAAATTATGAAAATTTTATTTTAAAAAACTTGAGCACTATGTAAAGACTTGGGCTTTTTTCCGCAAACACGGTGAAAGACGTTAATTTTTAAATAAAACCTAAATTTAAATACTAAGAACCCTTTATTATATGTTTATGCCTTTTAATGAAAGATTTTACAGTGATAACCAGAAATTAAGAGAAAAGGAAGTCGACATTATACCAATACATTAGTGTATTTAATGTTGTTAGATGGCATATAGTTTTATTAGACAATTTATAATTCACTAATTTAGTGAAATGGGCCTGTTTAACCTCATAGGATTTCGTAAAGTAATAGTTTGATTCTAAAAGTAGTCTTCCTACTACAGAGTTTTCTGGTTATCACTGTAGTAGGGTTGGGTTAAAACGATTATTACCGTAAACCGGAAATTGCGAAGGCCTACAGGCTACCAGCTTGTTTGCTAGCAGCAATTTTACTTAACAATTGTCAAGACCGTTTTAAGGAATCCCGTGGCAGTTATTCAAATGAAACTCGCCTAACATTCACTTAAGAATGACGTTTTTAAAGAAAATATATTTCTGCCAAAATCCCAACTTAATAAACCAATTTTAAAAACATTAATGTTTGTAAAGGTACAGTGAATGATCTAGTGTACCTGACAAGAGCTGCCTATCTCCCCTCAACCGTCCTCAAGATTTTTTTCAAAATAGTCATATTGTCGTTCTTTCTTTAAACTCTATCTCTCTAAACTTAATAAATGAGTATATCAAACATTTAATAAATATAGATTTTTAACATTTATGATTTTAACATGCAAAAAAAATGTTGAAAATGTAATGAACATATATAACTATTAAAAAAACTGTAATTTTAAACTATCTTGATGTCATTGCTGTTGAATCGTATAATAAAAAAGTGTAATTTAATCTAATATCAACATGATGATCAATAAATAACATACTAGTCATATCTATCAACTAGTTAATATTTAAACTAACTGAAATTTCTAATTTAACATAAATAACATAAATAAGAAACTTATCAACTAAGGTTTAAATGTATAACAAAATACTGGTTTAAATTTTACTCCATACAGGGATACCCACAAATAATAAGACTTAAATACAATACAGAATAAATTCTTTACAATCACATCATAATGCTCATTGTTTGTGAGTACTTCTATTTAAAAAGTATCAAACAGTTAGGAGTTCGTAATAAGCTATTTTTAAAAAACAGATTTCACGAATGCAAAGAAAAAAAAAAGGGTTTGTTTTAGGTCAATAACTTTTTCATAATCAACTCTATTGGGCTCAAAAAATATAAATATTCAAAATTCATCTTTTAATATGATCAAATTTCTCTGATTCAATTTGAATGAATGTATCCCTACACTGAGCACAGCGGGCTAAATAAAAAGTGTCCAGTGTAAGATACAAAGTAAAGGTTAGATGGTCACAGTGAGCTTAATAAATAGTTATTAGTGCTTATTATTGAAATAAAAGGTTGGAGGGCACAGTGGGCTGAAATTATTGTTTCTAGTGTTTTATATTGAAGTAAAGGTTGGAGGAGTACATTGGGCTGAAAATATAGTTTCTAGTGTTTAATATTGAAGTAAATGTTGAAGGAGCACAGTGGACTGAAAATATAGTTTCTAGTGTTTAATATTGAAGTAAAGGTTGGAAGAGCACAGTGGGCTACATATCAAGTTTCTAGTGTTTAATATTGAAGTAAAGGTTGGAGGAGCAAAGTGGGCTGAAAATATACTTTCTAGTGTTTAATATTGAAGTAAAGGTTGGAGGAGCACAGTGGGCTAAATTTATAGTTTCTAGTGTTTAATATTGAAGTAAAGGATGGAGGAGCACAGTGGGCTGAAACTATAGTTTCTAGTGTTTAATGTTGAAGTGAAGGTTGAAGGAGCACAGTGGGCTGAAAATATAGTTTCTAGTGTTTAATATTGAATTAAAGGTTATATTAGCAGAGTGGGCTGCATATCTAGTTTCTAGTGTTTTATATCAAAGTAAAGGTTGGAGGAGAGGGTGTTTATCTCTGAGCCGGTCATCTGACAGGAAACCATCGTCATTCTAGAACAAGATTAAATACATTGAAAAAATCTAAACTTTAATGGTGACTTCCATTTTGAATTTTTAATCCTATACTTTTATTAGTAATGATAATTTTTATAATGATAATAATAATAATAATAATGATGCTAATAATGATAATGATAATAATAATAATAATGAATGATGATGATAATGATAATAACGATAATAAAAATAATGACGATGATAATAATGACAACCACAACCAAAACCATCACAAGAACCACAACCACAGCCACCACAACTACAACCACAACACCAACAACAAAAAAAACAAAACAAAACAACAACAAAAATGTAATAATTAAAATAATTATAATAATAACAATAATAATACCTGGATACTGAAATATACTCTAGTGTAGTATAGTTGTGTTCTATCTGCCCTGATAGTTCCTTTAACTGTTCTCTGCTCAGAAAACAGTTTCCCAAGTTCACGCTTCTAATATTATTAATATATTAATATTTTCAAACTTGATTATTTAGATAATTTCAGGGAGTGGCAATGTAAGCTAGGTTAGATCAGTGCTTAGGGTCCATTAAATTTTAATGCGGATCCGGATCCTGGATCCGCACTGGAAAAAAATAGATCCGGATCCAGGTCATAAAAATTTCTTCTAGATTAACTTATTTTTTTTTAACAGAATAAGAATTTTCAGTGATTTTTCTTAATTTTTCTTTTTTTCTTAGGTTAAAACTTGATGAACCATTCAGAGATGAGGACATTTTTGTTTGCAGTCCTTTTTTGTTGGACCCGGATCCGTGGATCCGCATATCTTTGCGGAACTGGATCCGAATCCTAATCATAATAATAATAGGCCCTACAATCTAAATGTAAGGAAAAAGGTTAAATGGCTGGTACGACTTTGCGAGAAGGGTAAACTGCGTATTTCAAACTTTACTTGTGAAAAGCTCTTTCACAACTTCACGCTTCTAATATTAGATATTAGATGATTATTTAGATAATTTCAGGAAGTGGCGATGCAAGCTAGGATTTATCAGTGCTTAGGGTTCATTAAATTTTGATCTGGATCCGGATCCTGAATCCGCACTGGAAAAAAATATTGTATTTAAAAACATACAAAGTTTTAAGAGTGCTGTATAAGAAAATTCAACAATTGAAATTAAAAGCTTTCAGGGAATAATGGTTATAAATAGATTTAAATTTAAATAAGAAAGACATTTTAAGCACTTGGGAGGAAAGAAATGGAATTAATTTTAACAAGAATAAAAATAAAAATGAAATAAGGATAAATAAAACAAAATTGAGAGTATGAAAAAGAAGATATTTATATTATAGGCCAGAATCTTCTTCTGTTATTGATTAGTGAACAGCTGTAAATTAAATTGACTGGAAGGTAGAAAACTATCAACCACCATGGAAGACTCTATTAAAGTCTGTAATTTAAATAGAACACAAATGTTAAGAAAAAACTAAATGTTAAAGGAAATTATATAAAAATTGTTAAGGAAAATAAAAACTATTAAAAGGATTGTAAGCGTAATTTTAAGCGTAATCTATGCAATGATGGAAATTCAAGATTTACAACGGTACCATTAAAAACTTTATCTGATCAATTGTGAACTTTATATCCAGGGCTAGAGTAAGGATGGTTAAAGGAAGGAGAAGGGACTAACCTAAGCCTAGAGAGAGCTAGAGTAAGGATGGTTTAAGGAAGGAGAAAGAACTAACCTAAGCCTGGAGAGAGCTAGAGCCAGGATGGTTGAAGGAAAGAGAAAGAACTAACCTAAGCCTGGAGAGAGCTAGAGCCAGGATAGTTGAAGGAAAGAGAAAGAACTAACCTAAGCCTGGAGAGAGCTAGAGCCAGGATAGTTGAAGGAAAGAGAAAGAACTAACCTGAGCCTGGAGAGAGCTAGAGCCAGGATTGTTGAGGGAACCTGAGCAAGATTACATCCCTCCACATTCAAGTCTCGAAGTTTACAGGAGCCAAGTACTCGGGAAAGCAAGGCAACAACCTGGAAATGAGATTTAGTCTTTAAGGGGCTGACGTTGTAATATTAAGTAAGAGATGGTCATTCCCGAATCCCCATTCACAACAAAACCCATTAAACCTTCTTCTGACGGAAGATATTCTTGTTTTCTAACTAGATTTAATTATGTTGAAGTGGGTTTCTCCATTTTAGTGGCTTTTAGATGTATGCCGTAGCCATAATTATTAGTGCTAATATAAATGTGAAAAGGTATAAGGTTTCAAATTTTATGCGGTGAAAAAGTAAATTTGTTGGCTGGAATATATAAAAAAGCATTTATCCTTAAAAAGAACGAATGATTTAAACATGAAATTAAACCTACTTTAGTTTAATAACATCTACCTGTTTATCAACTAGTTTAATAACATCTACCTGTTTATCAACTAGTTTAGCAGCTGCCAAGTTAACAGTGTGAATACCAGTAGCTGTATTAGCCAGTAGGTCAGCAGGTACATCTCGCAATATATTTCCTAAAATTGGTAATTTCTTAAATCAAAACCTGTGCCCCCCCCCCCCTCAACTCAACCACTCAACCTCAGAGTAAAAGTTTGAAACCTTGAAACTCGCGCAGTTGTATAAAAAATAAAAACGCTTGGACACATTCAGAATTGAAGTGCTCGGCTTTTTAAAATCTTAAGCTAAGACTATAAATATAAAAAATATTGGCTTTAGAAATAAACATTTTTACGACATGCTGAAATGACTATCCTGAAAAATATCATTTTTAATCTAATATACCAATGTAATAAGCTTCGAGCACCGCCTTTTAACCTCCGAGCCCTGAATTCTGGCTCTTTGTTTACCTGCTAGGTTCAGTGTTCTCCGGGTAGAGTTGAGTATAGCTGAGTTCAGTATCCAGATAAACTAAGAATATATGTATACCTGCTAGGCTCAGTTTTCTCCGGGTAGGGTTTAGTATAGCTGAGTTCAGTATCCAGATAAACTATGAATATATGTATACCTGCTAGGCTCAGTTTTCTCCGGGTAGGGTTTAGTATAGCTGAGTTCAGTATCCAGATAAACTATGAATACATGCATACCTGCTAGGCTCAGTTTTCTCCGGGTAGGGTTTAGTATAGCTGAGTTCAGTATCCAAGCTATGCTATGAATCTATGTATACCTACTAGGCTCAGTTTTCTCCGGGTAGAGTTTAGTATAGCTGAGTTCAGTATCCAGGTGTACTAAGAATCTATGTATACCTGCTAGGTTTAGTGTTCTCAGGGTAGAGTTGAGTATAGCTGAGTTCTGTATCCAGGTATACTAAGAATCTATGTATACCTACTAGGTTCAGTGTTCTCAGAGTAGAGTTGAGTATAGCTGAGTTCAGTATCCAGGTATACTATGAATCTATGTATACCTACTAGGTTCAGTGTTCTCAGGATAGAGTTGAGCATAGCTGAGTTCAGTATCCAGGTATACTATGAATCTATGTATACCTGCTAGGTTTAGTGTCCTCAGGGTAGAGTTGAGTAAAGCTGAATTCAAGTATTCAGGTATACTAATAATCTATGTATACCTACTAGGTTCAGTGTTCTCAGGGTAGAGTTGAGTATAGCTGAGTTCAGTATCCAGGTATACTAATAATCTATGTATACCTACTAGGTTCAGTGTTCTCAGGGTAGTTGAGTATAGCTGAGTTCAGTATCCAGGTATACTAAGAATCTATGTATACCTACTAGGTTCAGTGTTCTCAGGGTAGAGTTGAGTATAGCTGAGTTCAGTATCCAGGTATACTAAGAATCTATGTATACCTACTAGGTTCAGTGTTCTCCTAGGGTAGAGTTGAGTATAGCTGAGTTCAGTATCCAGGTATACTAAGAATCTATGTATACCTGCTAGGTTCAGTGTTCTCAGGGTAGAGTTGAGTAAAGCTGAGCTGAGTATCCGAGATGACTGTGAATCTGTGAGATTAGTGAATGCAAGGTTTAGAGTCTCTACTCGGCGTACAGTACTTTCCCAAGAGGTATCCTGTACAAGAAGTGTAAATGAGAACAGTACATGAATTACAAATTTACTGTAGAAAAGTACATATTTTAAAAACTGGAATTTTCTAATCCCTATGTATTTGCATTTATGTTGTAAACCATGGATATTTCAAACATTTGCTCCAAAAAAATCATAGATTGAAATATTATGGGCCTACGACAGTAAGTTGCAAAGATATAGAGCTTAAAATAAACAAGAGTGTGTGGCAAGAACTTAGTTCCTTTACAATTTAAAACTCGTGTTGCATTGAAAAAGAAAAGGAACACAAATTTTTCACTATCTATAATATTGTAAACCTATCATCTTTGCAACCTAATGTCATAGACATTCTGCTAGATAAAGTTAGACATTTTAATGGTTTCAAGATTAAGAGATTTGAATATTGGAGTTTTAGACAAGTAATCTATTCCTTTATGAATTTGATTCCATTCATAGTCTAACCTAATAATCCCTTAAATTCTAATATACAGGATTATCCACAAAGGACAAGACTGTAAAGACGACCTGAAACTATTTAAATACAAGGATTCTTAGTTTAAGTCTTCTGCCTTGAATATAGTATTTTTGGGGGGGAGGGGGGGAGGGGGGGCAAAGAAAGAAACAAAGTTACAGTTGTAGGGAATCGTGAATACAAGGAAACAGGCCTTGTTAATTACACACTGTCGTCTTCAAAGTTTCTTCCTTTGTGGGTAAACCTGTATATTTATTGTTTACCTGTATGTTTGAGAGGTTGACATTATTCACAGTAAGATGATGGATGGATGGGAATGAATTGATGAATAGATGATTCCACTGATCAGTGCTCAAACAAACGTAGTTCAGGGATAAACTCCTAAAAATAGAATTATATAAAAACAACACATTTCTTGCTGAAGCTACCAATAAAATTTGTATATCAATATTGTCCTTAACTTCATAAATTCCTTGATATATATTCAGTGCTAAGGAATACTTTCATTTTAATCCGGAGCCGAATCCATGTCATGAATTTTTCTTCAAGATTTACTCATTTTTTGAACAAATAAATAATTATTTTGTAGTGAAAATCAATCATTCAGGGATTATGAACTTTCAACAATTGCTATATTTGCGAAACTATTTCCCCATTTCGCTGGAAAGCGTACAAGGAACCCTTTGAAATAAAAATATTGAAATACCTGAGATTTGAAAACGCAGAGCTGATAGTTTCTGCTTTCAGGTCCGATATATTTATCATTTTTAACTTTAGATCAATCAATCTTCCAACATTCATCTAAATATGTAATATTTTACTATTACATTACTTTTAGAATAAAGCTAAAGAAAACTTAACTCCCTCCACCAAAAAATATCAACAAAACTTTTAAAAAAGTGCAGGATAATACTTTTTTTATCCCATGCCATTCCCTTTCAACTACTCCCATCCCACCTAATCCCATCCCATCCCATCTCATCTCATCTCATCCCATCCCGTGCCAGTTGAGGAATAATAAGGGATCTTGTTGGGAGAATGTTTTGTGCTTTGTGACTATCAATTTTTCTCTCACTGAGGATTAATATAAAATTTCAAAAAGTATAATCGTATATTACATACGGTTATCTATTTTATATACCCTTTACAAACCTTTAAAAAGAACTGGTCCCAATGAGAAGGAGAGAGAACTATTCCAGAAAGATCTAATTCCTTTCTCCGGGATAAAGCATTGGATACAATATCCACAGGTACATCAGCTTAATATGCAAAGGTCACAATTTTTAGGTTGCACATCATCCAGACAGAACAAACACTAGGCCGAGGAATATCAGAAATATATGACGACGACATTTAGACATTGATTTTCTTTATTATTCCAGCGAGGTGGGGTAAGCATTACAGTTAAACTATGCGAGGTGGGGAAACTATTTTTATTAAGAGCCACTTTTCAGAAAATAAAAATAATTGATTCAGAGAATATAAATAAATAACAAATATTTTAGAACAAAATTTAGTTATAGTTTATAAATTATAACAATTTAAATGCCCTTAGATTTTTGAACTGAAGAGTTCCTATATTATATATATTAGATAATATGAAAACAAAAAAGGCCAAATATACACATTAAGTAGTTTTTGTTGTATGAAGATTTTTAATATCACAATTTCCTTACCAATCATAATGGAAACATTACATAAATTATAGATTTTATTGATTCTAATAAATAAAAAATAATAATTTTATCTTACTGTTTGTATCCAATAACTGTCAATACGGTTGAACCGATTTGACCCAACTTTTGTGTGGGACCTCACATGGCCCTAGGGAAGGTTTATGAATGAACAAAATTAAAAAATTTGCCTCCATCAAAATTCGATTTTCATTAAATTTTTTAAAATTTTGAAAATCCACGAAACTTTTTGTTTGAATCCGCGAATTTGTTTTGTTTTGTTTTACAAATTTACAATGTACACAAAGAGAACATGTTCACATTTAAAATAGAAGATGGGCACGAAGCGCCCTAAAAGCCTATTATATATATTAGTCACAAAGAATAACAAGAAACTAATTGAATGTTAAATGTACATATAGTACAACTATACTGATGGTAAAAGTAAACAAAACAGAATTTTGTAAACATTTACGTTATAAAATGACACAAATTTGTATTGCAAGGGGTACTAATGTATCTTAATTTACAAATATGTATCCTCTTGGCTTCACTGGACTTATAGAATGTCGTCTTCTAAATATATTCGAGCCTGGTGTTTGTCCAGTCTGGATTATGTGGTTGTTAAGTTAGAGTAAATAGATATAGAGTAGGTGTACTTGAGTTCAAGCGGAATAAGGTAGATATAGATTTTAAAAACATTTCTCACATGAAGTTTATATATGTTAGTCTGTAAAAGAAAGAACGCAGTATCCTGTTTTCTCTCAGCTTTCTACAAACTCAGTGACTTCTACGGCGGAATAAGAATTAAAATGTACACATAGCAGTATGCTCAGATGGGGTTACAGTTAGCCCAGGCAGGAAATGGGGGGAAGAGATGGTGTTGTGGGGTAGGGGGGATGAAGACTATATATATTTACTGTAAGGTTGTTAATCTCTAAATCCGGCAGTTAATTTGATCTTTTGTCATCTACAGGATTAACTAATTCCGTTTGGATATCCCATGGTCGGAACCCCAACAATTAAAATTTAGGGTTGAAGAACGTATACTCTTTAAATAAAAAAATTGCAACATCAATGGATATCGAAATAAATCGTGGTTAAAGACTATCTCACACAAAAGTTGCAACCTCTTATTTAGATTTTGATTTATGTTTATATGCCTTCAATAACCATTATTCTTCCAAACTTTTAGTTTAAAAACTTTGATTGTAAGGTTTTATCATGGTGTTTGCTTTTTTATACATCTTGTTCACTTCTTGTAAATCCTTAATATTTACAGATATAATGTTCTATTCTCAGATAACTCGTTGATTGGAAAAATTGCTTTTGGATCCAATTTCCAAATAAATAAATAACGAAAAATAGTTTTTTTTTACAGTTTAACCCAGAACTAATAATTACTGATATTTAGTTATATTAGTATACAACCTATTAAAAAATTGTCAAGACGACATTTTATAAACTCATTCGATATCTCTAAAGCTCTGGGTTAAACTGTAGCTAATAAGCTAATTTTCGAAAATGTTGAAAGTTGAAACAATTTTTCTAAAAGGTTTGTACCTAGATCAAGCCCCATTCCACCAAGAGTCAGGGACTCAAGACTATCCGGCATACTTCTAAAATACTCAAATCATGTTAAAAACAATAATTTTAAACTAATGTGTATATTTTTAAACGAAAGGAAATGATTTAAATTAATTTTTAAATTCCCAGCTCGGAAAAGAAGAAAACTTTGTTCGTCCATATATTTCAAGACAGAGGAATTTATGTTATTTATTTCGTTAAAATATCAATATCCCCCCGCACAGTACTCTTTGAAACTGTATACTATTGGTTTTGTATAATATTAAATTCAAAACAACGTTTGACAAGAAATTGAGTTTTTGCCACAACCATTGATTTTCTAATCCCTATGTCTTTGCAACTCAATGTCTTAGACCTAGGGTTTCCAGCGAACGAAACGTTTCGCGAAAAAATGCAAAAATTTTCGCATTCTTTTCCCCCCCGAAATTTTCGCATTAGTTTCTCGCGAAATTTTCGCATTTTCTCTTTCACACTTTTTCGCAAAACAGTGATGCAAAATTTCGCTATAAAACCGGAAATTTTCCCATTTTTCGTAAGCGAACGAAATGCGAAAAAAAAGCGAAACGGTCGGGAAAAAAAAATTTCGCGAAAAATGCGAAATTTTCGCGAGACGGTTTTTCCTTTTAGGTGGAAACCCTACTTAGACCTTTTATATTTCAAACTATAAAAAAGTTTACAAAAGTAAAGGTTTACTCTAGGGATGGATCGTTAAAAAAAACCAATCATTTCGTTTTTTTAACGACGAAGAAAATACTGAAAACGAAACGGTCATTTATAAGAACGAACGTTTTGGAAAAAGATAATTTTTTTAAATCTAAAAACGAAGCATTTTTATTTTGTCGTTTCGTTAACGAAGTTAGGTCGTTTTTAATTTTCGTCCTTGTCTTTATAACAATCGTTAACGATGACTCCTTGAATACTACCGATCCTTGGCGACCTTTTATAGAAAAAATACATTTTTCGGTTGGAAAACCCTTAGATTAGAAAAACCTTCGGTCAGAAACAATCAGTAATTTCTCTCGGAATAAAAAACATTTAAGCCAACATTCATAAACTTATCTTTATGAAATTTTCCTTGCATTAATTGTCATACAACTCATATTCATTAGCGTTTTTTAAGAAAAAGATAGTTTCGTTTTTTTTTAATTCAAAACGAGTGGTTTGTTCGGTGTGACCCGTCGTTTTTCTAAAAACGATACGATCGTTTTAAGAAAAAACAAAAACGAAATGAAAAGCAATCGTTTTTTTCGATCGTTTTAAAAACGATTAACAAACCTAGTTTACACCATTAGGTTGCAAAGATATGGGGAATATAAATTTGAGTTTGCGGGAAAAACTTAATTCCTTTAGATGACCAATCAAAGAAGAATGCAAAATCTGCGAATACCTGAAAACAGCTGACCAGTACTCTGTTCCAACCCCAGAGAAGTCCAGAAGGTTCAACTCAAGCTTGTACAATCTATCAAACAATCCTGAACAAGTATGCTTCAATATCACTCAATAGCAAAGATAGTAAATAAAGACCGGAATTTTTCTTGCGAGTTTTGTGTTTACTGTTGTTTATAAACCAGTTTTAAGTGCAGTGAGAAGCCCTAGTACGTCACACTTGAATAAAAGCAAAGCAATACCCCTACATGTTGTAGGTGAATACTCACATAGATTCAGATTGCATTAAAAGTTGCATCAATTTTTAAGACTGAGTTAAATTTAAAGTGTCGTAACACCTTGGCCTGTTCATCTTAGGACTATAAAAACACTTTTTTTAGATCCATAGTTAAGTGAATTTCTTGTCCAGGATTTGTATTTCAACCGACTCATTGAAACAAAAAAACTTTCCACTTTCATGAAATTCTTTTTTCGAATCCCTTTGTTAAGGTAATTCTTTTATATGTCAATCTTTGACCTTCAGATCTAGCAGACCTTCAGAATTCATAAATTAAAATATCTAAGGTCCACGAGTACGGCATTAGGCTGCAAAACTTTAGTTCTTTTGACTTGACTAGAATGAAAAGGAATTTCAGTTGGCTTTATTTCTTCATTTGAAAGGACTAACCTTAAAAGTGGATTCCAATCTACTAACCTTGAAAAATATGAAGGATTGGTACATCGTTGCAAACTCCCAACCCATCAAACACATCCCCACCATCCACTCTGGAAATATTGTCTCTATGTATGTTGTTGGAAGCAGATTTAACTGCATCAGAAAATCTGGTTAAATCGATGGGACTGCAGGCTTAATTTTAGCGTCCTTTAATTTATAGCGTAGCATGTCTGATTCACAACGGTGCTTTACTAACAAATATCTTGTCAATAACTTGGAAGATATCGTCCTTTTTCTAGCTGGAAAGTGTTTCTCTATTATTTCTGCAGTAGAAATACGCGAGCAACATAGTTGATCAGACAAAGCTGTAAAGAGAATTGTTGTTTATCGGACATGCCACTCTATTAGTTGAAATTATGACTACAGTGCTTTAAACATTGCAAAATTATGAACATTTATGTAGTTCTTTACCTCAAGGTTATTTTAGCCATCTTTCCGTCATGTTCCACCAGAAACCTGATACACAATATTAACAATAATGACAGATAGTTTAAAAACACATAAGAAGTAATTCATGAAATAAATACCACTGCTTTCTTAATGCCATTCATTAAGTTTGGAGACAAACCTCTCATTGAGAAACATTATTACGTCACTGTTGTTGGAGTAAAGCTGGATTTCTAAGATTGTATCTGCAGCTAACTGAATTGTCTATGAGTAAGGTTGAATTATCTAAGTGTATCCTACTACCTGAGTTGTCTATGAGTAAGGTTTGATTGTCTAAGTGTATCCTACTACCTGAGTTGTCTATGAGTAAGGTTTGATTATCTAAGTGTATCCTACTACCTGAGTTGTCTATGAGTAATGTTAGATTGTCTAAGTGTATCCAACTACCTGAGTTGCCTTGGAGTAAGGTTTGATTGTCTAAGATCTATTGTATCTAAGCTTGTTACAATATCAGTAAACAACTCCATTGGAACCTTAAATAAAATGTATTAACTTTCGTTCTCTAAGAAATAATCAATTTTTAAAAATTATTCGGATAAATCTTTAAGAGAAAAAATCTCTCACTGGACTACAATTAATATTTTACAGATGTATTTATTGCAGTTATTATTAATCAATATTCATTGTTCAAATCTACTTGAGGTTTATAAAGAGAACTTGCATGACCGTAATTACTTTTTTCTTCTAAAATAAAAAATATTTCAAAATTTACCTCTGTAAGATCGGTTTTACTGATATTAATCTCCTGAAGAAAACATTCTTCATTCTTTGATGTTTAAAGGGGCTGAATGCATTATTTTAAAAAATCCTGTTCCAGGTAAAAGGGATTGTTTAAATATTATCCTTTTTACAAACATTCTTTTCTGTTGTTTTTATAAAAAAGTAATTCGCTGACACAGGTACAGGTACAGGTACAGGTACAGGTACGATTTATAGAAAACACTGTCATATTCTTCAATTTTTTTTTATTAATTGCAGCGTTTTTATTCTTAAGATTTAATCCCCCTTTCACAACAACAGGCTAGACTTTTTACCCATTTTGATACTACTTGCCCAAAATATTCATTTATTTTACCCAATCATGCAAATAAACCTCCCCCCCCTCCTTTAAAAAATAAGTAACAATTAGGGGGGGGGGATTATTTTCAAGGGGAGGGAAGGTAGGAGATAAATGATTTTTCTAGAAAATATAAAACAACCCTGGCCGGCTTTAAGGCATTCATCTCCCTCTTAAGGTTGTTAAATGAGTGAGAAATCATTTGACAGAAATTAAATGGTTCTATGAACTTAAACCTAATACCATCAATACTTGAAGGATGGGGGATAATATTACAGAAAACAACAAAATTTAATGACATTTTCCAATTTTTACAGCTCGGTGAGAAAGACAATATTTTGCCTAAAACATACTGAAATTCAGAAATCAGCAAATTATAACTAAACAATTATTTCAGATTACATGGGAACATTGAATATTAATACATAAAAAAGACTTAACGTGCAGGGACTAGTTTTTTTCCGAAACAAAATATTTAAATAAAATAGACAAGATAGTTCTCAGGCATTAACTTGTATCCTATTTCTTTTTACAAATGTGTACTTCAGAAAAAATCTAAACCGGAATGAAAATTTTCCTTGGTGATTTGTTTGTTTAGTATTTTCTTGAGAAGCTTGTTGAAGAGCGGTGGAGGAAGTTTTGCATTTGATATGTTTAAATTCCTATAAAATAGATTTATCGACATTTTTTAATCACCTAATTTGAGAAATTAAAGGGACTGTCGACTGTCGAGTGTCAACTCTCCGTTTTTAGAGATGTCGGATTCACAATCGTACCCCAGATACAATGGAATTCGTCTGTTTTATAGGAGAAAAGAAAACCGACAACATCTTCCTCAATATTACTCCGCAGATAAAGTAAAAAGCGTATAGTTGTGAATTGGGCATCCCCTCGATCACTTATAATTTCGTCAACAGACACTTTAGAGAGTTAGTGTACCTGATCGTAGACAATGATTCTGAACAAAGTTCTGGATCTAGTTTGCTGAAGGATTGTGGGGAGGATATATCCAAGGAGTCCAACTAAAGCGTTAATTAAATATTAATCTTTACTCTTTAGAACCTAGTTTTTAATTTTACCCAAAAATAAATGTTTCTACTAAAATTCATTTACAGGGGTATAACTTTTCTTGATAAGACATATACCCCCCTTTAGAAATAATTTACCCTCTCAGATGTTAGTGTTACCATTTAAAAGGAATAAAGGAAATGTAAAGCTTGAACCTGATGTGAGTAAATCTACAGAGTATAGGATAAAATATATTTACATTATAAAAAAGAACAAATAATGGTTAATACTAATGAATCCCATCCTGTTTCCATCCTATTTCCTCCCCCCTCGTGCTTCAAGCCATGGTTCAAATCTATTGGCTTGAATTTAAAATAAAATTCTGGGTCAACGGTGGCTTTGGTTTTCCACGCGTTCAAACATGTGGTTAAAAGTATGTTTTCTGGGATGGAATCTTTTAACAGACAAATATCTCTACATTTTATACATGAAGCGACTTAACATCCACCCCACTGTTATCGTTGACTCCAGTTTTTTTACAAGGAAGCCTCTCTGTATATGCTTTCATTATGTATGATTTTTAGGGTCTTATTCGCTGAATACTAAAATGAATGATTGCTAGTGAAAAATCAATAACATTTTTGTAAAAATTATTAACAAAATTAACAACCTATTATTTTGAAGTCCAACTTTTAGCTTTATATTCCCAAAAATCATTCTTGAAATAAAATAGCCTTGAATTATCCATCTTAAAGAAGTTGAGGCAGAGGAAAACAGATTTGGGTATAAAACTGGACAATATTGACCATTTCTTTTGGAGCATGTTTTAATTTTTGAAAAAGTCGACAAAAGGCGGAAAATTATCCAAATTAAAAACCCAACCTAATCGTTTCTCCTGAAACATGTTCAATTTAATTTACCTTAGGTGAGCTGAGTACGTCAAGAAAAAGTACATTCCATTCCTAAACATGAATTTGTAGTGAGAATACAAGTTAAATCCGGGAGTGTATACTTTATAATGAATATTTGCTTGAAAAATATTTTTCTCCTTGACTTTTTGTATGATTTTATTTGCTGAATTGGGGGAAAAAAGATTTCGGGTTAATAGATGAAATTAAATATCAAAAATTATCGAAAAGGATGACAAAACTTGAGATAAAGATCATATCATTATTCATAACCTTCTCATGGTACCAAAGGTTTGATAAGTCCAGGGCAGGAAGCTTCGCGTATCTGTCAATTATCAGAAGGTTTGGAATACCTGAAAAAAAAACTCTTTACATATTCAATTACAGGGGAAGAAAGTAACAAATCGTCATTTGGCCCAAACCTGATACTGAATGTCAGGTTTGGCCCAAATGTGCAAAGTTATCGTATTTACCTGTTGATATTTTTGAATATAAGTCGAGAAGTAAAAAACCGTCCGCAAACTTTTATTTAGAACAGTTAAGGGTACATTTTATAACAAAAATTTAAAGATTAAACCCCTACAAATCAATAAAATTTTGGGTATATTTTTAGAGAACAATTTTTGGACCCCAGGCCCCCGCCCCCCCTCCTATCAATTTTGTACAGGGATCTTACAGAAAGTGTCTCAACTTAACCTAACCCGTGGCCGGAGCCCTCGGCCCCCTAGCCCATTCTAGCCTCAGCGCTCGGCCCAGAAAGTGTCTTAACTAACCTAATCCGTGGCCGCAGCGCTCGGCCCCCTAGCCCATCCTAGGACCGACCCAGAACATGGCACATTTTGAAGCAAATGCAAAGTTTGGCCGCAAAACATGTCGCGATTTTGAGACATTTCACAGATTTGAACCAATGATACTTTCAAGCATTTACACAATTTGATAACTAAACAAGGTCGAATTCAAATAATAAAACAATAAACATGTATATTATATACTCTGTTCTGAATCTAATATTTCAAAATATAACGACTAGTAAGTTGTAAGAATTATAATAACAATATTATATTGCACTAAACAGTCAAATTAAACAGTTAAACGCGTCCATGATTCAAATTCGTGATATAGGGTGTCCCACGAAACATGACGGTAATTTCCTAGTATACGATTTTTGGACCAAGTTTGTGAATAGTTTAAAATGTCTTCTTTCAATTTCATAATTAGTTAAGTTGTTTGATACTAAAGAGAATGATAAGATTTGATATTCGTACATATTCACTATAAAGAAAGTATAATAAATACCTCTTCTAATGACCATTCTCTTGCTGATTCTAGTATTTTTCCATAGATATGGCCGCGAACCAATCTCAAGACATCGCTTGTTGACAAGAACAAACGAACAGAGGTCTCGAGAATCAAGAAAAGAAAGAATTTTCTCGAGAATTTCTGGAGGAAGTTTTACCAGAGGGTCCATGTTTACCTTTCACAATCAGCTGTTCAATGTCTTAAGTGATCAGAATATCTGGCAGATGTGACGTCACGTTGTAAATACCAAACAGGGATAGTTAAAGTTTCTTTTGAATGAATCGAAAAATTACATTAAAAAGATTTAGTTAAACAAAATTAAAAAATTTCGGGGGTTTTTCTTATCGAATTATCGTCTTTTTTTAATTTTGGATTTTTAAAAGTTAAAAATGTAAGAAATTGAAATTTTAACATTTCTCCATTTTCCGTTGATTTAAATGTCTTAAAAAGAAATTTGATTGAAAAGTTACAAATACAATGAAGAATAAAGCACCTGTATGGCAGGTAGCTCTGCGGGGTCACGCAGTACATTTTAGTGTACACTTTACAGTTCAGTTTTATTTTCACAAAGCGCATTCTGGACGCAGTGATCATACACGTGTACTTTGTATCATTTTTTTATTATTAATTATCAAATATTCAAATGTGTTTTAAACGGGTTAACTGTTTCTTAACGCAGAGTTAAAATATATTATTATTGAAGGTAGATCAAGTACCCCCAACTATTAAAAAAGATTTCATATCATCAAAAAATCAAAAACGCAAATCTTAGAAACAGAAACGATTTTTATTTTCCTTTCCTAAAATCAGTTAAAATTGGACCCCTCCCCCCTCACAATTTCCCTAAAATATGGAATGAAAATAAACGACACTTTTCTAAGCTTTCAAATATCAATCTTATTTCAAATTTTAAACAGAATTTAATAAAAGATTTTTATCAGCAGAACCAATGTTTTAATTCTAACACATTCTATGTTTGCAAAAGAGTTGAATAAAGCAAAGACGACTTTACAAAGAAAAGAATATAAAAGAGTAAAAAAATAAAAGGTGCTAAAAATGCCCGTTTTCATAGAATGTACATCTCTTTCACACTCCGTGAAGCTTGTATTACAAATAAGTATAATTTTTATTTCTAAAAGTTGTTAGGTCATTGTCGAAAAATACTAACAATCCACCACCAATTTATATTAAATATAGTGTAAACAATAAATATGTAACTTTCCTTTCCTCTTCCTTAAATATTTCTATGTATATATTTTTAGAATTGGGGGAAATATTCCCACAACCTCTATTTTTAGAGGTTTTTAAATATTTCTCCTAAAACACTTAATTTTGTATGGTTTAAAAAAATCATTTTTTACTTTTACTTTACTTATTATCATTATAAACCTATAGCCGAGTAACACCGTCTTAGAGATTTTCGTGTTTTTTTTTGTCTTGCTCAAAGATATCATCCGTTTGTTTATTTTCTGGATCTTTTCAGTGTTATTCAACAGTTCACTAATTAGAATATATGCTTGCTGCATTTTAGTTCAGATAAAGATTATTTGTACTTCAGCTCTTCGGGTTGGACATGTATGCGTAAAATTTTGCGGAAATGTAAAATATTTAAAAAATATTTATTTTTAGGTAAGTATATATTAGTAAAATGGTCGGAACTCGCCGAAGATCAAGTATTCTCCCTGAGCCTGCCGTCGACACAGCGACACCAACCAAACGTGTCGCCGCTGCTGCTGAGAAGGTCGACACCCCGAGGAAGAGTCGACGACTCAGCGAGGTTGTTGTAGAGGATGCGAGGCCTACACGGAGCCCAAGAACATCAGCAAGAGGAGGAACGACGGAAACACCGGAGCCGGTTTCTAAACTTGTATCTAAGGTATTTCATTGTGTTTAAATCTTCATATGGTTTGTGTGACGCGTGTTATAATTTTAAATTCCCTAATAAAAGATTCCACCCCCCCCCCCCTTAATACCCCTTTCCCACTAAATTTACCCCAACTCACCTTTCAATAGTTTTTCCTCACTTCTAAAACAAAGCTATATTCGGTTTTAATCTTTCTTCAAAGAATTTTTATTTATCTTCACATACAAGTTTTGTCCAGACCTATAAAACCCCTTTCCTCAGAGCAGTTTTTTGCGAAGCAAACTATTACGCCATGAAAGTGTCCTAGAGTGATTTCCAAAGTAAATTTATACATTGTTCAAGAAAAATCTTGCAAAGTTTCTTTTCTTCATATCGCACTTTTTTAAAAAATATAATTTCCTGTCGATTAATATTTTCGATCTCTTCCCGTTGCAGTACACAGATTTGATGCATCGGAATTTCTGATGTATTAAATTTGACCTAACGGTTTATGTACAGGTGAAGGAGGAAGTATTGACCCGTGTACGCAGTCCAAGAACCAGTAGTATAACTACTTCTACTGTTTCTACAGCTAGGTATTAATTAATAATTGTAGCTCATAATTTTTTAAACATCATTGTTATTTGGTGAAAAACGAAGATTTTTAATTTATTCTTTGCTTTTCATTTAAACCAGCAGATAAAACTAGGGACACATATTTTTTTTATTAGCAAAGATATGGGAGCAAAAGTTTTCCTCCCAGCCTAATTTTTTAATTCCTTTATTGTGTGAATTTGTTTTTGATTTTTTTTCTTTTCGGAACGTTTTTATGAAGGATCGCTCCAAAAAAAACAGGCAGAAATTTAGAATCATCACAATAGCTTTTTTTATTTTCTAATGTTTAGAAAGACAGTCGCAGCTGTTGCCGAGAATCCTGCTGAACTTTTAAAACAGAAGACTGTGAAAGAAATTTCAAAAGAAGAGATCGCTTCAAAAACCACACCTAAGGGAAGGGCCAAGCGAGTATCAGAGATTGAGAGTAAGCCAACCACTCCACGCGTCAAGCGAGTTAGCGAGGCGAGTGAAGTGGAAGTTAACCCAGCGACGCCTAGGCGGGCTGGAAGGCGTGTCAGTGAAGTCAGTGAAGCAGATGTAAAACCTACCTCACTCACTCGTGGAAGGCGTGTCAGTGAAATGAGCGAGATTGACACAAGACCCGCCACGCCTACTCGCGGTAGGCGTGTCAGTGAGATGAGTGAATCGGAGAGTAGACCTGCCACGCCTACTAGAAAAAGTCGACGATTAAGTGGAACTATCGCAGAGTTTGTTGACTCTCCAGGGCTTCCATTGAAGAAACGTCAAGTGAAGGAAACATCTTCAGAAAGTTTGTCTACAACTACTGAGGGAGAAAAACCCGCGGAGGAAGTTAAATCTAGCGAAGAATTGGCCCTCGACGTTATTATGGAAGAAGAGGAGGAGAAAGAAGAGAAGAAAGAAGAAAAGAAGAAAGAAAATAAAGAAGAAAATAAAGAAGAAAAGATTGAAGAAAAGAAAGAAGAAAAGAAAGAAGAGAAGAAGGAAGAAAAAGAAGAAAAGAAAGTAGAAAAGAAAGAAAAAGAGAAAGAAGAAGAGAAAGAAGAAAAGATAGAAGAAAAGATTGAAGAAGAAAAGAAAAATGAAAAAGAGGCAAAGAATGCAAAACAAGAACAGGCCGAGGATAAAGAAAACGATTTAAATATTAAAGAAGTGGAGGAACCAGAAATTGTTAAAGAGAAGAAAGAAGATAACCGCGAAATAAATGTCAAAATGGCCGAATCTAAATCTCTCCCCTCTGATGTCAAGAAAATTTCAAAAAATGAAGAAGAGCTCAAGATTTTGGAGGTGCTGAAGAATACTTTTCTCTTAAATCCTATTCCTTGGCAGAAACGGAAATCTGGGAAATTCTGGAAAACTGAAAGATCTCAATTCAGAGCACTTAAAAAGGACAAAGGTCAAAGGTAGGTTTCTTTAACATGTTTCTAGTTAGATGTATCCCCGCCGCTGCGGTTAAGGTGGAATTCGATCGCAATGATGCCAATTTTTCTGCAAAATTCGTCTTTTTCAGCTTTGCAAAATTTTTATTCTATGAGAAGATTTAAGAGAAGATTTTTGGTCTGTGTTTTCATATATCTTCTGTCATGGTATAAATTTGGCCTACTGCACACTGGGACAGGGGCGAGCAAAAAAAAATAATCTTTGAAAATTTTGATATGTTTTTCATATGAAAGGTTAAACCCTACCTAACAAGAAAATATTATTTTGGGCACCCATTGTTTTTGAAAATAGACATTTTTAAAATTCCATTAGACTTTTTTGACGATTTTATTCTTAAATAAAAAAGGACTCAAAATGTGAATTTCTTGGTTCCAACCACTCCTATTTCAAAATATTTCATGACCAATATTTACCCTCCTTCATATTTTGCACGCTTTTTGGTAATTCTGTCCCAGTAAGTGGTGTAAATCAAGCAAATGGGTAGACTGAATAATCTTCTTAATTTGTAAAACTTTACAATTTTTGAAAGCCCAAAATACCTATAAAGTGGGAGGAATCATTAACCTGTAACCCAGTTATTTCTCATTTCAACTTGTGAATTGGGTTTTAAAATTACTTCGAAAGTCTGCTTAACAATTTTATGGAGTAACTAGCTTGTGAACCCAGCGTTGCCCAGGATACTAATAGTTACTCCCGCCGTCTACCCGCGCTTTGTCGTAATTTACGATTTTAGCTATTTTTCTCAAAAATATTGGGCCCACTCAATTTAGAAACTCAAAACCAATTTAAGACATTGGTTAAGGGGTTCATGAGTTATGATCGGACAAACAGACAAACGGAAACTACAACTTTATATACAGTGAATCCCAGATATATGAATACATAGACCGTCATAAGTTTTTTGATAATTCTAAAGAAACTTCTTTTTATTTCTAATTCAAGGTAAATTAATAGCCCTGAAATATGAATGCTATTGATATATTAATATTAGACTCATTTTTCCGCGGCATTTGATCTTAAATATGTAATACGACATTATACAAAACTCTTGGTACGTATTCATATATATGGGATTTACTGTATAAAGAACTAAACTTAAAAAATCTTTGCCCAGGCGAACTTTTGAGGAAAGATTAAAGCTGAAAGAGGAGAGAATAAGAAATAATGAGCTTGGGAACATGCTCATGAAGGAGAAGATTGCTAAGAAACAGGTAAAAGAAAAGCCTTTCTTTTTCGTACGTTAAAACTGATGAAAATAAGAAGATTTCCCCGTTATTTTTGGTTTATTTCCCGGTAATTCTAAATATTTTGGAGTGATATTTAAGAATTCTGAGTTCGAATTTAATGAATTTAATCCGCGTCTCAAAGCCGCCAAAAACCGGTTTCAATCGAGCGCCGGCTTAAGTCTTGAAACATGAATACATTTTTCAGTGGAACCAACCATATTTAAGACGCGTCTCAAATTCTTTAAATTCGCCCTCTGATACACAATACACAATACATGGGGTCATACTTCAAAGCAAAATATACATAAAGAAAAGGCCTAATGCCTTGACTTTCTCTTTAATAGTATGTTTCTAGAATTAAAGAATAAAGAATAAAGGATTTCATTATATTTTATAGAATTTATGAATACATATATAATGCAATTTTTTTTTGATGGAAATTATGGAAAATTTTCTTATTGCTTAAAGGACTTGAGACAGCGTATAGCTGAGAACAAGAAGAAGAAGGAGGAGAAGCAGTTAAAGAACGAGGTGTACCAGGTGGTCAGGAACCCGAACAAGATCAAGAAGATGAAGAAGAGTGATCTCGTCAAACGAGATATTCTCGCCAAGGTTCAATAATAATATTTTTTTTGCAGAGAAAATGTCCCAAACTGTTCTTCTGGATCCGGGAATTGATCTTGGAAGCCTGAATGGTAAATGTAAAAAAGATGTATTTTTTTATGAACCGTGATTATTTTTTACTTAAAAATAATGTCTTCTATATTCCACGCTTTCATATGACAAAGTGATTTCCGTTTGAAATGATCTTTGTCAAGTATTTTAAAACTCAAATAAGTTTAAAATGCCTAATATGAAAATGTTGAGTTCAGAAACGTATTATGTTATGTATGTTCAACAACCTGGGTCGGTTTTCAAAATTGCACTATGCTCACTCGGTTTGGACTTGGACTTACAAGCAACATTTAGGAAAGACGATTTTTTCAGATCATAATCGTCATGCGGAAACCGGTTTTCGCAAGTGTCATTCAAAGACGTAAAATTAACTTATGCACGCAATATTTTGCTTCTTTAAAATACTTCGAATTGGATATACGCCCCTACCGCCCCTCCTGTTTATATTTATCTAGGCATTAAACAAATTAAATTCCTAGGTTCCGGACTACTTGTAGGTTCCTACCTACCCAACCAAGTACTAGGAGTATATGTTGCTGCTACACCTGTAGAAGATGGAGAGGATGGACCTAAGGGGGAACTAGACCCTCCATGGATGCTGGAGCATGCAAAACAAGTTCTTAGGATGCTTCCAGGTCAGTTGTCATTTGTGAATACTAAACACAGCGCTTAGGATCCATTTGGTTTTGATGCGGATCTGGATAATGAAGACAAATGTTCTAAGTTTTCCTTTCCTTTTTGTGCTTTTTAATACTAAAACTTGATAAACCATTTAAAAAAGAAATTTGTAATAACCTCCCTTTTTCAACAATATTTGGTGGTTTGAGAGAAAAACGTTAATTTTCCACAGATTTTGGTTGATTGCTCATTGGATCCGGATCCGTATCCAGTAATCCTGAAGTTAATCACTTAAACCACAATACGGAAATATCGTGAGACAGTCTGATAATCTGATCTGAGATGGAATTTAAAGAAATTGAGCCACGGTTTAAATCTGCCAAAACCCAGTTTAAATCTTGAAACATTTGATACAATTTTAAGTGGAACCAACCATATTTAAGCCGCGGCTTAAATTTAAACCGCCGCTCAAATTCTTTAAATTCGGCCACAGGTTTTGATTATTGTACATTTGTCAAAACATGTCATATTAATATTATTATTTATCTTAGGTCAGAGTGTTCATACTTTTTCATAATTTTTATCCAGATTTCTTTTATTTTCCCCGAAAAATCATTTATTTTCCCAGAAAAAAACATTTATTTTTCCCGATTTAGCGAATATAAACCTGGAATTACTCAACAACTTTGTAAATATTTATTACAGTACATGCAGGGGTCAATATAATTCCCTTTTCAATCCCATTTGGGATTGACAAATTTGAAAGAAATGGGGGCAAATTCTTTAATTGGGGGCAAATTTTTTTTATATGATAATTTAAAAAAAAATTGGGGGCATTTTTTTTAAAAATTGGGGGCATTTTTTTCAAATTGGGGGCAATGGGGGCAAATGTGTTAGTGGAATTTGAAAAAAAAATTTTAACTTGGGGCATTTTTTTAAAAAATTGGGGGCATTTTATTTAAAAATTGGGGGCA